CCCAGTCACCTTCTTGGTGCTCATCCTGAAAAGCTCAGCATTGTTTCTGGTTTCTTCCTCCTGACAAAGCAAGCATTCAAATGTTTGCTGAATGAATGACCGAATGAATGAGTCCGATTATGAATCACACTTCTTCATCAGGCAGATTCACAATAATCCAGCCTCTTTCTTTTCATATTCAAACAACTTTACATAAAAGAAAACTCAGAATCCCTTCACCTTAAAGCACCAGTCATTTCTCTCTCAGACTGATAGATCATTTCAGTCTCTCACTGAAGAGACCACTTTTTCACCAAGCACATTCACAGTAGAAGTCTGCTTTAGATTCTGCTTTTAAAGCTTGGCTTATAACTCTACAGTCTGCCCTACAATAATTTTAGTGACTTTTAATGACTGCAGATTAGTCTGTAATGTGGTTATATAATCACTTACTTAATCAGACCCAGATTTTGAACACTTAGATTGTTTCCTTGATTTTACTCCTTGCTTCTTTATTCGTTTAACAAAGTAAATGACCTTGTTTGCTTGAATACAGATAAAATAAACCTGAAAGAGAAAAAAAAATTTCCCTGGAGTAGGAGGAATGTTGGGATGGTCCAGGCCAGGGAAGAAGACTTTTCACCCTTTTAAATTCTGAATCATGTGGATATCCTAGCTATAAAAAATATACCAAAAGTGTCCTGTCTATAATGCATTGCCCTAAAGTTGGCTATAGACTTAATTCCCTGTTATGTGCTCTCCCCAAAATATAGATAATGTACCTTGAGAACCTAGAGGAGAGAGCAGAGTCTCAGGGAGTGACATTTTCACTGAGTCTTGAAGGAGGGATTGGAGTCAGTCAGGCTAAGAGACTGCCTTGGGCAAAGGCCCAGAAGAGGAAAGGACATTTCCTAGTTGGGTATAGAGACTGTATCTGATGTGGTATGAAATTTAGTGGAAATGAGACTTTTGTGTGTGCTGGGGCCCCAAAGAAAATGGCATGTTTCCCACTCCTGAACCTGTTGGAGTCCATTGCCAATCCCATTCCCACAGCTAAATACTGGTACCATGAAATAGCTCCCAGTGGGTAGGCCTTGCACAGGCTGAGAGGCTTCTCAGACATTATCACTAATCCTTGCAGCAAACAAATATGATAGATTCTTTTACAAGACAAGGAAACCAAACTTCTTTAATTGAGCTGAAATTACAATACCTAGACCTCCAAGGTCACACAGCTTTCTCTTCCATCTCCTTTGTAATTCTCTAATGACCTCCATCCTTATACAGATGATGTGTACACTTCTTTCTTTATCTTCCTATGCCCATGACCCAAAACACACACAATTGTAAACCTAGTACAATACCAGACTTCTGGTGCATAGGGCCTCAATAAAAATGTGTTGAATGGAGAGATTATGTATGGACCTTCTATAGTACTTGGCCTGGTACCTGGCATTAAATAGATTCTCCTTTAACTTTATTTGTTGGGGGGCAGTACTGGGGATTGAACTCAGTGGCACTCAACCACTGAGTCACATCCCCAGCCCTATTTTGTATTTTATTTAGAGATAGGGTCTCGCTGAATTGCTTAGCACCTTGCCGTTGCTGAGGCTGGATTTGATCTCGCAATCCTTCTGCCTCAGCCTCCTGAGTTGCTGGGATTACAGGCGTATTCCACCACACCTAGCTAACTTTTTCAATTGAGCTGAAATTATAATATCTAGACCAATAAGGGTATGACAGAGGGAACAGATTGGAAGAAAACAAATTATGGCACAACCTCAGCTAATCAATGTTTTCTGGAAATGAATCATTCAGAAGGCTGACCTTGAATCCAGGAAGAAGAATCCTGGGGCTTCTCTATTCAGTGCTACCCTTACTTCTCCCAGGCATTTTGAGCTCCCTGATCCTTTAGTCTTCTTTTCCTTCTACTTTCTTCCTTTCTTGTTTTTGTTTGGCTGTTGCTCCTTCAAAATTTCTTTGTGGTCCACCTTATCCCAAGTTGCAATTCCTTCCAGTTGGCCAAATCATTGCCATCTTTCTTGGACTGTCCTTCTGAGGCCTTCTGCCTAGACCTTTTCACCCCACTGCAGCATCGTCTCTTCCACAGGGTCTTCCCTGATTACCCTGGAGCTGGAGGATGCTTCTTTCTTCTTTGCACTCCACAGCACCCTGAGCAGGTGTCTCTCTTCCATCTACTTCCCACACTAGTATGTGGGTTTCTTTTTTTGTTTTTGTTTTTTTTTGGTACGGGGATTGAATCCAGGGGTGCTCTACTACTGAGCTACATCCCCAGCCCTTTTTATTATTTTTAAAATTTTGAGACAGGATCTTGCTAAGTTGCCAAGGCTGGCCTAGAAATTTTGATCCTCCTGCCTCAGCCTCCTGAGTCCGGAATTATAGGTGTGCGCCACCACACCTGGCTGAATTGTGGGTTTCTTTGAGATGCAAATCATGTCATCCTCAAATAGTTGCAAATGAAATTGACAGATCTTTGTGCTTCATGGCCACTTTTCCTTCATTTCTGCTTACTTTGCCAAGTTTTGGTTGGTTGGTAGAAATGAAATTGGAAAATCCTGAGTGCTAGAGGTTTAGGGTTTCTCTGTGGTTCTGCTTCTCTTCTTCCTGCTCTGTTTTCCCTGCTGCTTATGTTACACTTGTCCATCAGACTTAAGAGTACTCCAGCTCAGCCAGCATGTTTGGGGCACCAGGAGTTCTGATCTCCCTTATCAGTTCCACAAGAAATTATTTGAGCATCTTCTCTGCACCAGGCCCTGAGCCCAATATTAGGAAAACAGACAGAAAACAGTCTGGCCCTGCCCTGCCTCTGGCTCCAAGTGTGACCTTGAGCCCTTTCTAGATCTCCCCCATTTGCCTCCCTGAAAGTGGAGGGGAAGGGAGACCTGTTCTGTAAGGAGTTTGGAGCTCTTGACATCGTAGGTCTGTCCTGGGTATTCCAGGCTCTTCCATATCTGCTTTCTCCTAGAAGACCCAGGCCTTCCTCTCTTACCTCTTTCCTATCTCCCTTGAAAATTCTGAGCAGACATATCCCAACACATCTCCCTCTCTATGAAACACTAAGAAGCAGCTTGAGAACCCCAGCTAGCCCAGGAGGGAGAAAAGAAAGAAGAGGAAGAGAGGAAGCCATGGCATGTGAGGTGGCCTTCTAAGGTACATGGGGGAATGGAACACCCTGACATACCAAAAAGTTCTCTAAGCTCAATTTTGATGAGTCATGTTAATCATTCTAATCAGGGAGGCCAAACCAGAGTGGGAGATGACAAGATAGAACTGTGATTATTTTTCCTGGAAAGGGATAAGGCATCAATGTCCCTTGCACTCAAAGAACACTTGATATTACTTTTCTATTTGATTTTCTCAGTAACCCTTTCAGTTATATTTAACATTTTTTTAGTTCTGTCTTTATTTAATGCCTTAGGCTGGGAACACTGGCCTCTTCTGTAGGACACATCACAAACTCCAGTGTGTAGACATTTTGTTGTGATTTTTGCTTTGTTTTGTTCTTGATATTAGAGATGGAACTCAAGGGCTCTCTACCACTGAGCTACATCCACAGTCCCTTTCATTTTTTGGTTTTAATGTCTGTCTCCTCCACTAGGCTGTAAGTTCAATAAAGGCAGGAACCGTGTCTGTTTTCATCCCCCATTTAATCCTCAATATGTAACAGTGCCTTGCAAACAGTAGTCACTCAATAGATAGTGACCAAAAAAAAAAAAGTAAATCCAAAGGTCTGGGACCTGGGAGCCATCTTTGATTTTCCAAAGTCTTGTGTGCTGAATAAAGTCTTTTAACCTGAAACACAGTAGTTTTTCATTAGCCATGAATTAAATTAAATGAACAATAATAACAGGAAACACTTATATAGTGCCTCCTGTGTACCATGCTCTGTGCTAAGCACTTTACATTCATTCACTCATTTAATCCTTAGTAAAACCCTGTTAAGTAAATATTGTCATTATCCCCATTTTATAGATGGGGGAAATCAAGGCATAGGGGTTCACCAACTTGTAAGTGACAGAGCTGAGATTTGAACTCTAGCTATCTGGCTCTAAACTCCATGATCCTAACCACTATGCTGCCTTTCAACAGCAAATGCTCACAGGGAGCATTAGAGAGAGAGAGAGAGAGCAATTTCCAAAGGGAATTTTCACAGGTGCAGCTAGGCCTGGAAGCTAGTCTGCTCTCTGTGCAATGCTCCTCCCACTCTGCCACACTGGATATGGCTGCTGATATATAGCCTCTGGGAATGGAGGCACAAAAAGAGATCTGAGAAGTCTAGTTATTTGTGCAGAAAAACAGTCTTAGGTAGACTAGGAAGCTCTCAGCAGAAGAACCATAGCAGCCACTAGGGCAGAAACAAATATGACTACCGGGTCCCTTGTCTTTTAAAAAAAAGTTACTTATTTTTGCAGTACTAGGGATTGAAGCCAGGGGCACTGTACCACTGACCTACATCTCAAGCACTTTTCAAATTTGGAGACAGGGTTTTGCTAAGTGGTCGAGGGTCTCACCAACTTGCTAAGGCTGGCTTTTAACTTGCAATACTTTTGACTCAGCCTCACAAGTTACTGATATTATTGGCATGCACCACCATGCCCAACTACCAGGTCCCTTTCTTGGAGCAGGGACAGATGGTGGGCTTCTTTTCAGAAGTCCCTGATTGAGGCCTAATCTGGTCTTTGTGCACTCATTTATCACACTGTGACCTCACCACAGATAAAGCCATCCAAGGCCATTTCTGCCACATTTAAATTGGGCATACAAGGAGAAAGGAAACCTATTGGAGAGATGAGATAGTCTGACCTGCAACCAGACGTGTGTAGGAAGTTGGGGTGGGGCCTCAAATAAGTAGTGAACTGGAGGAAAGGTGTGGTCAAGGCTGACAAAACTCCTGCAGTTAAGTGATAAGAGATTATAGCAAAGCATCTATAATCAACTCAGCTTAAGAAGTTCAGAGCTTCTGGTTGGGCTTCTTGCCACAACAGAACAGCACCGTGACCATGACCTTTTTCTCCAGGCAAAATCTTCAGGAGGGTCTCCGAACCCTCTCTGTTATGCAGTGGATTCCAATCTATTTAATTTTAGGTGAGTGAATTCCAAGGGCTGGGAAGCACATGGGAGCACATCAAGAGGCCAGACACCCCCAGATGAGGAGGGTTCTGATGTGATCATCTGATTGTTCCCCCCTATCATGGGGGGAAGGACTGGGCTGGTGGCACAAAGGTCAAGAGTGAGGCTGTGGCTTTTCTTGTTCAAAGAGTATTTCAGCCTTCTCAGGAGCTGTCCCCTGTTAAGCAGGCTGAAAAGAATCACATTTGGGCATAGGGCAGAGGTGGTGATGGCTTGCAAAGCTGGTGTTACTAGGAAGACATGAGGTGATTTTCTAGTATGAGACTGGAGAGAGAGAATTGTGAAAAACCCAGGGCTACCTTAGTGACACATTGAACAGAATTTTGAGAAAGGACCAATTTTTTGGTGGACTGAGGGCACAACAGTCATCAATGCGGAACGGATGGGCTGACAGACACAAGCTCTGGCCAGCTAGAAACCAGGGCTTTGTGGGATATCAATTATAGGGCCAAGCCTGGAAACAGGATGAGAAAAACTAATGTCATTCTGAAGGATAAACAGGTAGAAAACAGCTGGCTCCAATCCATGGGAGGCTATATGACCCCTTAGAACAGAGGATCTTAACCAGGGGTCTGCAGACCAAGAATTTGAGGGTAATTACAGGACTTTGAATTTGGCTTGAAAGAAATACATTTTTCCTTTCACTAACCTCTAGTGGAAATGGAGCATATCCCTTGATGATGAATGTAGGCAATAAACCCCAGAAGTGTCAGCAGCCCCTGTGACTTTGTAAACAGCAGACACCACAGAGATTTGCATTTCATATTAAAGTTGTTACAGGCATCTTGAAATTTCATTTATGCCCATGACTGCTTCAAAATTCCAGTAGTTATTAGAAAGACTGATAGATCTGGTTATTTATGCATAAACCAAGAAATCCATATTGGTTACTAATATCACGTTTTGAAGGAATATTGTGATAACTGTATTTTAATATAATGGGCTTCTTTTGTATGTGTGTGAACCTTATTTTGTGCATTTAAAATTTTTTTTTAGTTGTGGATAGACACAATACCTTTATTTATTTATTTATTTAAATATTTATTTTTTAGTGTAGTTGGACACAATAGCTTTATTTTATTTATTTATTTTTATGTGGTGCTGGGGATCGAACCCAGGGCCTCACATGTGTTAGGCAAGCGCTCTGCCACTGAGCCATAACCCCAGCCCTATTTTGTGCATTTAAAAATATTTTTCAGAGAAGGAGTCCATAAGCATCACCAGGTTTCCAGGGAGGTCCATGGCACCCCCAAAAGATAAAGATTTATTATACCTTATTAAAAAGGAAATTCTCTACTTGGGAGGCTAAAGCAAGAGGATAAAAAGTTTGAGGCTAGCCTTGGCAACTTAGGGAGATGCTAATTCAAAATAAAATATAAAAAGGGCTGGGGATGTAACTTGGTGGTAGACGCACCCTTGGATTCAATTGCCAGTGCCACAAAAATAAAATAGATGATAGATGATAGATAGAGAGATAGACAGTAAAATGGAATCATGCCTGAACTCATCAATGGTTTGACTCTAGCTGTAAAAAGAAAAGAAAGTTAATTTTTGTAAACTTATTTGTTTATAGTTTTTCAGTTTCTTTTTGTTTTCCTTTGCATTCTGCCTTAACTTCCTCAAAGAGACCCCTTTGCTAAGTTCCAGTCCTCAGCTAGAAAAGTGAGCTGCAAGGGAATTTCCTAAGAGACTTGGTATAGCACTAGCAGCCATCATTTCAAGTCTGGAACCCCAAAAGAGTGAGCAAATAGAGGCGAGAGAGCAAGGGAAAGAGGTCAGGAGAGGAAGAGCTGAGGGCTGGGGGCGTGGCTCAGTGGCAGAGCACCTGCCTGACTTGCCCTAGGTTCAACCCCCAGCACCTCAAAATAAAATAAAAGTTAAAAATAGGAGAGAGGAGGAGCTGTGGATCCTTTTAGGCTCATGGTCTCTTCTACACAGGAAGGCCTTGGTATAATACTTGAACACAAATGCCCAGATTATCTTGGTCTTCTGAGGTGGCTCTCCTTATTAAAACGGTCTTATTTTTCTCCCAGAAAAATCACTACTTCCTGAAGTACTTTTTCTTATATTCCTTTTCCCCTTTCAAAGGACACTGTCTCTGGGCAGGGAAAGAACTGAGGGACTATCAGGCAACTGAATAGGTAAGGGACCAAGAAGGTGAGGGTAAGCCTTCTGCATGCTAAATCTCTCCAGCTTCCAGTGGTCCTGGAAGAGCTGGAGGACCGGAGTGGGCATGTTAGGGACACATGATGGCATGGTTGTGTCATCAGTGAAATCACATAATAATAAATGTGAATGTTGTCTTTTGCCTACATTTTAAAGGTTATTTTTTATTGTGATAAAATACACAGAACAGCAAATTTATCATTTTAACCATTTTAAAGTTTACAGTTCAGTAATGTTCAGTACATTCACCATCAATCATCTCCTGAATTTTTCATTTTCTCAAACTGAAAATCTGCATGTGTTAAACACTAACAACCCAATTTCCTCTCCTTCCACTACTTGCAACTACCGTTCTCCTTTCTGTATATGAATTTGCCCATTCTAGGTACCACATGTAAGTGGAATCATACAGTATTCATCTTTTTGACTGACTTACTTCACTTAGCATAATGTTATTAAGATTCATCCATATGGTAGCATATGTCAGAATTTCCTTTTTAAAAAAAAAAATTAAGGGGCTAGGGTTGTGACTCAGTGGTAAATCGCTTGCCTTGCACATGTGAGGCACTGGGTTCAATCCTCAGCACCACTTAAAATGAATAGACAAAGTAAAGATATTGTGTCCATGTGTAGCTAAAAAATATTTTAAAAAAATTAAGTCAGGTTCTTGCTATGTTGCTAAGGTTGGCCTCAAATTCAAGATCCTCCTGCCTTAGCCTCCCAAGTAGAGAGTTTCCTTCCTTTATAAAGCTAAATAATATTACCTTATATGCATACACTAAATATTGTCTATGCATTCATCCATTGATAGATACTTCTGCCTCTTGGCTACTTTAAATAATGCTGCTGTCAACATGACTGCTTAAACTGAGTGGGATGGCACATGCCTGTAATCCCAGCAACTCAGGAGGCTGAGGCAGGAGGATTGCAAGTTCAAGGCCAGGCTCAGCAACTTAGTGAGATCCTAAGCAACTTAGTAAGATTCTGTCTCAAAATAAAAAAATAAATAAAAAGGGTTGGGGATGTAGATCAGTGGTGAAATGTCCCTGGGTTCAATTTCTAGTATTGAAGGGGAAAAAAAACATAGGTACATAAAAATCTCCTGAAGACTCTGCTTTTCTGCTTTCAATTTTAATTCTCCACATCCTCAGCAGCACTTTTTTTTGGTGCTGGAGATTGAACCCAAGAGCACTTTACCACTGAGTTTTATCCCCAGCCCTTTATGTTTTTTGAGACAGGGATCTCACTAAGTTGCTTAGGGTCTCATTAAGTTGCCAAGGCTGGCCTTGAAATTGTGATCCTCCTGCTTTAGCCTCCAAGACACTTGGATTACAGGTACATATCACCACAAGCAGCTATAACCATGCTAATGGGTATGAAATGATATTTGTGTTTTTTAAAATAGTTTTTTAGTTGTAGATGGACACAATATCTTTATTTTATTTGTTTATTTTTATGTGGTGCTGGGGATCAAACCCAGTGCCTCACACATGCTAGGCAAGAGCTCTACCACTACCACTAAGCCACAACCCCAGCCCTTCATTGTGGTTTTGACTTGCATTTTTCTAGTGATTAGTGATGCTAAACATCTTTTCATGTGCTCTTTATTTATTTATTTAGGTACCCAGGATTGAACCCAGGGCCCCTTAACCACTGAGCTACACCCCCAGCCTTTTTTTAAATTTTTTAACTTGAGACAGGGTCTTGCAAGTTGCTTGGGGCCTCATTAAATTGCTGAGGCTGGCTTTGAACTGGCAACCCTCCTGCTTTATCCTCCTGAGCTGCTGGGATTACAGGCATGTGCCACCATGCCTGGCTCTTGATTTCTTTTAGATTTATTATTATTCCATTTGGCTTTCTCTACTAGTTTAGATGTTAAACATCCTGATTCTGTTCATTTAGTGATTATTCTAGATATTAGAAGAATCCTGGGTCTTGGCGAGTACCAAATTAGCTATGTCATCTACCAGGTGTGATGTCTACAGAGATTAAAATCTGTTCTCCAATAGTTACAGAGCAAGCACTAAATATAAGTAAGACCTTGGGCTGCCTTTTCTGAGACTACAAATGAGTTAATTACATGTTCTTTACTATCTAGTAACAGAGATAAATGAATCATTTATTCTAACATTGTGCATAGTTTATATGCCAGTGCTGGACACATACACAAATCACTATAATGTCAGATAGGCTGTGGTAAGCAAAAGAAAGAGCCATGATAAAGTGATATTAGGGTGTCAGGGGAAATATTACAAATGGTTGAGTGGATCAGGAGAGTCAGGAAAGGAAAGAAATGATGTGGTTAAGTAGGACATGAATTAGCTTGACACTATTTTTTTTGGGGGGGGTTATAGGTTATATTTGAAGAACTTGAAACTAAATTGATGGTCTGTCCATATTCCTTCTTCCTAAGCAGAAACCTTTAAGTTCAACTCTTGTTCTTTTTTCTCTTCTTTACACATCCTTCTGATATACATGGGGGGAGTCTGCCCTCTAAATTTTAGTTTTTGATACTACAAAAAAATAGAATATAGTCTTGTGGATCAGCCAGAGTTCTGCCATCTACTGCTACAAGATCTTGTGCAAGTAACTCTCAGTTATTTTTTAATGTGATCTTGAGCACTCCACCATAGTAGAAACAGAGCATACATAGTGCCAGTCTCTCAAGAATGTCCTAAACCTGGGCACAGTGGTGCACACCTATAATCCAAACAGCTCAAGGGGCTGAGGAAGAAGGATCTCAAGTTCGAGGCCAGCCCCAACAACTTATAGAAGCCATAAACAACTTA